GGACCTCCAATTGGTGACAATGATACCATATCACTCTGATACTTGGGCATCTACTTGCCTTGTTGTGATGATCCCTACATGATGAAAGAGTGTCACCACTGACCCAGTTGTTATCTTCACAAGCAGCTCTAGGACTGGTGGGCACATATGGGACCTATCCGTCTTCTGTACACTGGCACAGTGCTGTCCTATCTAGCTGGTTCTTTTCAATTCCCTGTTCTGTGAGCTCAGGTAGCATAGAGACAAATTAGCCAACTCCTGGCTAGGCAGCCATCCAACAGGAAGCAAAATGCCAGCCTCCCCTTCAGTCAGACACGTCTAGTCTTTAGAGGTTCTCTTGGAAGCCCCCTCCCTTGGAAATAGCACCTCAGTTCACAGAAAAATAATGCTGGTCACAGGAGCCTAGGGTTCCCATAAAGGCAATTTCTCATTGCAAACGAGTGCACTGCCATTCTGACTTTATATAGTATACTGGGTTTCTGAGCTTGGCTAATTTACTGGTACAGCCATAAAAGAAGAGAAATAGATTCCTTCTCTGGATGCTGACCAAATCGTTTTTTCAGGCTGTAAAGCTTAATAGCAGAGCTTGAACTGAAGCATGTTAATGTCACCCAGTTAGCCTTCTTAGGAGCAGCTGGCCACCTTTGTCCCAGAAGTACCCTTTTGAGTTTCTTTTAGACAACTCTGTCCTCTGGGCCTCTGTCTTAACCTACCCCTGTCATAACGTCAACACATTATTGCATTTTATCTATTCATTTCTGTTTCCTACTACTTAATATCAAAGCCCCTTAAGGGCAGGGGCTAGGCCTTTAGTTATCTTTGTATGTCTAGTGCCTAATGTTGACTAACATTTGTAGGTCTTCAATGAATATGTATAAAAACTTTGCTGAGTGTTTAGCATGTGAAAGGTGTAGTGCTAAGAACTAAGGGTGCTGTAAGATCTGGTGATTGTCAATGAGGAAAATACGCTCTGGTTGAGCCAGCAGGATCCATCTTGAGTTGAGGATTCTTCTGCTGTACAACTATAACACTTGGTATAAATCTCTGCTTAGGACTCACCAAACTGTAATGTCAACATGTAGCTTTCTCTAATAGTTTCTGAGCCTTTGGAAGGGAAGGTCTGAGCTTCCCCTTTGCATTCTGATTGTCTAGTCCAGTGCCTAATGTTCACAAGGCAGGCGCTCTACAGGGGGTATTAAATAGCTAACCAGAATAAAGGTTCAGATAACAGCGGGTGTGCTGAGGTCATAGGGTAAGTTTTGCAGATGAAGTGGACTCAAGCTTGGTTTCAGTGAACTTACAAAGGGAAAGAAATAAGGCTGATATGTTAGATAAGGGACAATACGAGAACACAGATCAGAATGTACAGAGCATCTTCTGGAGATATTTGGGTAAAAATATTCAGCAAGTGATTGGAAAACATAGGCCTGATGGGCATGAGGGATGTCAGTTTCCAAGATGTATTCTTGGGAAAATTGGAATCGGTCTGGCAAAGAGGGTTGGTTTTCAGTGCGATCCTTGGGACCTGAGCAGCATTAGCATCATGTGAGAATTTGTCAGAAATGCCAATCCTCACACCTGAATCAGAAACTCTGAGGTGGTGCAATCCGTGCTCTCTAACAAGCCATCCAGATGACCCTGATGCACCCTGGAGTTTGAGAAAAACTAGCATAGGGGGTTAAGAGTGTGGACTCTGGAACCAGAATACTTAGCCATATGGCTGTGGGTAAGTTATTAATCTCTCTGGGTCTCAGTTTCCTTATAGAATGGAGATAATAAATGGCACCTATGTTCTAAGGTTGATGTAAGGATTGACAGTTCATACATAAAGTGTTCTATCATAGCAAGTGATCTGATTCTGTTGTTTTTAGTGAGAATCTTTGGAGCACACATTCCCACACAGAGCCTAGGGTGAGAGACCTTGCTACTTGAAATGTGTTCCCAATGCAGCAGCCACAGCCACTGCAGCATCACCTGGGAACCTATTAGAAATGCAGAATCTCAGGCCCTCCCCACTCCTATTGTATCAGAATCTGCATTTTACAAATAGGTATTTGAATAGCAAAGCAGTATTCTACAACTCAGCTCTAGACCTACTAAATAAGAATCTCCTGGGACTGGAAACTACATATTTCCATGATTTCTACCATTGATTCTGATGTTTACCAAGGATTTAGAAACCCCAGTGCACTTAGGACAGCTGATTTCCATCATTTGAAAAAACTCAAAGCACCTGTGATGCTACACTTGGCAGGCATCAGATGTACAAAAGACAGTATTTGTTCTAAGAAAAGTAGATTTGTGTGGAAGAATGCTAGGTAAGGCTAAAAACTAGCTAAGAAATTAATCTTGTGTTCTGTATGACTATAGTTCTTTCACATAATTTTTATGTTAGTACATTCCATATGAGTTTATTGAATGAATCTTCTTTATCCAGCCAGAATTGACCAGTTGGGCCTTCTACAACATATTTTAATGAGACAGTTTTGGGTAATCATATTTCAACGTAGCAAAAGCCAACATCACTAAAAGCATGTCTTGGTAAAACTCTGCTATTAAATCCGCATTGAGTTAAGCAAGAGGCCAGCTATCTTCATGGAGCTGAAACGCAGGGCTGAGATGACAAAGTAATTATAAATCTGGGAACAAAAATGTTATTAAACAAATAAACCTCTCAGAAGTCTAAAAACTCTAAGACTTGTCAAGTCTAAAACTTGACAGCAGTACATCCAGAAGAGAGTTTATAAATTAGGTTGCTCATGAAATCACCATATCACTTATCAAACTCCATTATGTGTGGTGCACTGGGTATATTTTTGGGGGTACCAAAGAATATAAGGCAAATACTTTTCTTTTATTACCCCACGCTGAAATATTTTCTCCCCTCTCTAAACAGTGACAATCATGTACTACACAATTCTTTGACAGTTATGTCCTAGAACCTTGTGATATTTTCTCTTAAATTCTTGAATTGTTACTCAATATTTTGTAACTTTTAATATCTATCACCTATCATTTATCTCCCCACTAGAATAATACAGTTGTTCCCCAAAAGTAGGAAGGTGGCAATCTGTGTAAGGACCAGATTATTTCAAGCTCACCCTTACTTTCAGGAGGCAGCTCTCTGTAGACCCATAAGTGGGAAGTAGTTTCACAAGTCTTCATCTTTGACAGAATATTCTTTTTTTCTTTTGGCCCTACTGGATTGCCAAAAGTCTACCTCAGCCTTTTAGCTGCCTCTTGTAGATCACTGTATGCTCTGAAGCAGAAGTAGCCCTGGCATAAAGGCAAGAGAGAAAAAGTGCATCGAACAGGCAGCACATAACTAAGATACTATTTGAATGAGAAAATATCACATTAAATATAAAAGGACTAAATATTTCAGGTAAAACTCAAAGATAATCAGACTAGACTAAAGCCTGAACCCAAACCATATGATTTTTAAAGACATGCATCTAAAACTAAAGGCTACACAAAGGCTGAAAGTTAAGGGGTGGGAAAAGTTACGTCATGCAAGTGTTAACCAAAAGAAAGCCACTGTAGCAATATTAAGAATAGAAAACATAAACTTTAAGGCAAAAATCTTCACTACGCAGAGTGTTACTTCATAATGTTAAAATATTCAATTAACCAGAAAGACACAACGATTCTAGATTTGCACATGCACCTAAAACATTATCTTAAAATATGGAAAGCAAAATTAACAAAATTACAAGGAAAAAATAGACAAATCCACAATCAAATGGGGAGATTTTCACATGCCTTTCTCAATAGTAGATATGGAACAACAAAAAAAAAATCAGTAAGGATATAGAATGTTGGACAACATGATTAATAAGCTTGACACAAATAGAGCACTTAAGTCAAGACCTTGTTAGGTCATTTCCTTGGTCCTATGGAAGAACACGTATTTAGGGTCATGAGATTTTTAAAAATCCACTCTTCTATTTGGAGCACACGTGGAAGCAAGGGTATGAAAAAACCCTATAATACAGATCTGTTTCTACAACAGACTCTTTAAATTTATAATCTGACTATGCACGTTGTAAAATTAAATTCCGTCCATTCCTAATCCTATTAGTTTGGCACCAATACCAGACTGTATTCTTCTCATTATTTAATTTTGTGAATGGGCTTTGATGACAATTACCTTGTTGTCTTTTTTTTTTTTTATAGTTAACATACAGTAGTATATTGGTTTCAGATGTACAATATAGCAATTCAACAATTCTATTCAACACCTTGTGCTCATTTCACAGTAAGTGTACTCTTAGTCCCCTTCAACTATTTCACCTACACTCCTAGCCACTCCCCTCTGGTAACCATTAAAACTGATTGCCCTTCTTGTTAGGACGTAGAAGTAAAAAGTACTAATTATTTTTTAAGTTGCAGTAACTTGGCTAATTCTGTCCAATCTTATGGGCAAGATTTAGAGGCCTGTTCAGGAATTCTGGGCTCACAATTTAAACCTTTATGAAAAGAACCTCATATATGCCAACAGTGTTACATACATATGTAAAATTACTCTGAAAAAAATCTTTGGATTTAAATGTAATTGTCAGTGCATTGCAAATAGTAAGTATTCTACAAACGAAGGGTGTATATTAAATGGCCATTTCTACTATAAAAGGTACTACCTTTGGGGAACCAGTACTCCCATCTTAGGAAGAAGAGGGTGGTGTATGACAAGATGGGGAATGAGGGAGGACGGGGGAAGATTTGATAATTTTTTTGGAAGGAGAATTTTTTTAATCCCTCTTTCAACCTTTTCTATACATATTTGATCCGTGTCCATATCAGAGCAATTTTCACTATTTTATTATAACATTGCCTGTAATAAGAATTACTTTAAAAATATGAAGTGGCTTTTCTTTTTTAAAGAGTGAAACCAAGACTCAATCTGAAATATACATTTTGCTATACCACCATCTTTGTTAAAACAGATACAACTCTTATTTGTAATCAATATAGTACATAAAAATACACAAGGCAAAGACATTTGGAGGAATTCCATTTATTGTGGATGCATTTTCACAATATATATTTATTGCAGCGATCAATTATCAGTGAAAAATATCAAGTGTTTATAAAATTTTTAGGAATGGCAGATTCACAGAACATGCTAGTCACCTTGCAGTCTTACTTCTTAAAGATAACAAAGAGAACTGTAATCAAACAAGTAAACAAGGAATTTATTTTTCAAAAGATTAAATCCAAACTGAACAAAGTTCTACCCTAAAACTTATTCCATCCAGTATTGGAATAAAAGTCAGGATCGATATATTCTCTTCTCAACTTTAGACTTTCTAGAAAAAATATATAATAGTGATCAAGAGAAGCTCTTATTCAAAAGTACAACAAAGCAATGTTACCTCACCATCGGCCTTAATTCAAACTTTGATCCATTTCACTCCAATTATGGGACTTGGTGCTAAATTAGGCACTGCATGTGAATTCTAGTTCATTTTATCATAGACTCATGTCTACTCTGTCATAGGGGCATGACCTGTGCAATCCTTGTGGCTTTCCTTCCTTTGGCCCAGGTGTGCTACAGCTACAGGATTCAACAGCTCTTTACTGGTTTACGAGGAAAATAGACTTTGAAAGGCAGTGGTCACTTCTCATGCCAGCCTTGCCCTGGCAAGTTCTTCCAGGGCAATACCATAGATTAGAAAAGAGGCATTTGCGAGGCTCCCTCATTGTGGCAGGAATTGAGACTAAGACAATTTTGGTTAAGTCAAATGAGGTATAAGTTTATAGAATTACACTTATGTATATCTCTACGCTAGAACGTATTGCCAAGACACTGGAGTACTCTTTTGTCATCCATTGTGAAGAATAGATGAACACTTACAAGCTAAAATAAGATCTGATATCTAGATTGTGTGTGTAAAATGTAAAAATGACAAGTCAATAGACTTGGGGGTAAAAGGTAAAACTAATAAAAGGTACATAGAGTTTTTCAAAATTCAACACGTTATCAACCTATGACAAGTACCAATGACTAAAAAAAATAGAAAAGTTTAATTTAAAAGGCATTTCAGTCCGTTAAGAATGGAAGTACTGTCATGACTCCTAAATATTGGCTCTTGCTCACTTTTCTTCTCTGCTTCCAGACATTAGCCAATGTTGGTCATAGTATATCCATATGTAGAATTCCAATCTGTACAATTTGCAACTAAAATTCTTGTCTTTAAATTTTAGAGAAGGGAGAGACCTCATTTGTCATCTAAGGCAACCTACTGCGGACTTGATATTAAGAATAGAATACAGTTCTGAGCAAGCTTTGAGTTTGACCCAGATGGTAGATTTAGTACAATTCACACTGGACTTCAAGATTGCTTTTAATTATAAACTAAATACTATGTTTTATAGAAAATGCCAACTCATTTTGACACTTCTAATCTCTCTTTTCTTCTTACAGGTTAGCGGGCACTGGAAACATATCAATACCTATTCTGCCATGTCTCTATTGGCAAATATGAAATATTAATATAATATTGTGATCTTTAGTTTTTAAAAAGCTGTGATATTGGCTAGTTACAAGGACATACTGCTAAATATAATAGTCTAGCACATAAAAAAGCTTTCTACCATTAGTGTGTTTGTATATGTGTATGCACATACATACATGATCAGGTCATCTAAAATGTGGTTCGCTATCACTACCAAAGAAATCCACAAAGCAACCAACCTAAAGAATCAGTACCAATGTCAGCTAACATCATAAACCAATTTAGATATTCATCAGCATGAAAAAAGTAATACCTTAACAGTACATCTTTTTTTTTTTTTAAAGACATTTTTTTAAAGATTATTGTAGTATCTCAAATCTGAAACGGGTTACTTTCAGAAAGTGTTACAATTGCCCACTGAGATAATTTCTTCCATGCTTTATTCTAAAGTGCAGAAATAACATGACTTCTGTATTTAAAATAAAAAAAAAACCAAAACGAAACCACTATGGTTCGTTTTTCTGGACACTGCACACATTCCTCAGGCAATTTTCAACTTGAATCTCCTTTTGTTGACTTCTGACGTGGTTGGTATCACTGTTCAGACACAGAGTTATGATGATCAGTAGGAAAGTCTCTATTTCACAGCATGGGTTTCTTTAGAAACAGGCTCCTGTGCAAAGGCAGTACTTTACCATGAACACCTCTAGACTGTGATTATTAAATATAGTGATAATATACATGGGTTTACTGGGATAATGAAAAATAAAACAAAAGGAAATGAACTCAATTTAGTAAATCAACATAAATATAAAACAGAGCAAACTAGCCCTCTTCAACTGAGCTGGTCCAGCATCTTGAAGCGGCTACTTTGGGTTCTTTCTTGAATTGTCTCAAACCTGCTAAGAGAAGAGAGCTTTAAATCCAGAAGCTGTGGTGTTTCAGTGAGATGTTTTGTGTCAGAAGAAGAAAAAATAACTGTAATATAACAGGAATAAATATTTATGAAAGGGGGGATTATTGCTGGTATTCTATTCAAATATGTTCCTCATCTTCTAGTCTACCTTCTCTTCTGTTGATTTTTTTACTTTCTTCTTTCTTTCTTCTTTATATTTCCCCTTCCCTATCTTGGTTTTTAGCCTTGTTTGTGACATTCATAGTCAAGGAGTTTTTTTTTTTTTAAACTCCATTTGAACGGCCAGGAATCTGTAGTGTGTTTTCCAGAACAGGCACATGTGACTGAATGGCTCAGTCTTGGCCACGTCAAGGACAATGGAGAAGTGGAATGTGTTATTTTTTATTTCTTCCCTTCTATTCTTTTTTTTAAATATATATTTTTAGTGTTTATTTATTTTTGAGAGAGAGAGAAAAAGCGAGACAGAGCATGAGCAGGTGAGGGGCAGAGAGAGGGAGATACAGACTCTGAAGCAGGCTCCAGACTCTGAGCTGTCAGCACAGAGCCTGATGCAGGGCTCGAACTCATGAGCCATGAGATCATGATCTGAGCTGAAGTTGGACATTAAACTGACTGAGCCACCCAGGCACCCCTCTTCCTTTCTGTTCTTAACACCTCTACCCTCGAAACTTATCTGGCCCTTACTAAAAGTCCTTACTGATGTAGCCACAACTATTAGTGCTGTGAATCTGCATTTTCAAATGAGTACTTCCATTTCAAAGGAATGATTGCATGACATGTAGTGAGCTTGACATTTTGGAGCAAAGAAGCCATCTACTCTGCTACCGCATAAACCCATCTCTGGGCCTCATGGTTTTATTAATATTATTATTATTACTATCATCATTACTACTGTACAGAGACTTTTGTGTTATAGACTGAGAAGGGGGCACTCACCCTGTCACCTTCCCACCTGTACCACCATGTTGCATAATTCCAAGGAGTACTGTTTATGTTGTATTGAACATGAGTGGAGTTCTCTTGAGTTTTACCATTCCAGATTATATCTGTACTCCACTTTCCAGAACCCTGGCTCAGAGGAATGTTATCCTCTGGAGAGGCTCCATTAAACTGGTACTGATGGGTTACAGACAGCTGGTACCCTCTACTAAGAAATCCAACTACATACACATTTGGACCGCCACTTCTGAGATGCTAGAGGGGCCATAATGGCTTAAGTCAACAAAAGTTCATTCTTTGCCTGAAAAAAGAAACTAATAAACGATCCCCCTACCCTCCTCCACCAGGAGAAAATTGAGCAAAGAACTTTAAAACTTTATATTTTCTGCTAAATATGCAATCTTCAAAAGCAAGCAGCATGCGTAATGGTTAAGAATGTAGGCTCAGACCAGATTGCCTCAGTTTCAATGCAGGCTTTGCTAGCTTATTTGCTGTGTGGCTTTGGGAAAGTTCATCTCTCTGTGCTTTGTTTTCCTCAGCTCTAAATGGAAGTAATAATAAAACCCACTTCACAGGGTAGTTGAGATAATGTAGCTTAAGAAAGTAGAACAGTCCCTTGCATAGAGCACTCAGAAAGCGTTAGTGGTTTGTAGTGGTGATAATTATTACTAGGTACTTCTAATATATTCAGCCATGACTTAGAAAACTTGTTTAAAACTCACCATAAGTAGAGAGACTGGGCTAGTGGATTTTATTGGAATGTAAGAGCAATTAATAACTGATCAAGAGACGGAACAACACACTTAGGCAGCTGTGCCAGACTTAGGAGCCTGTAGAAGGTAGGGAAGGGGAAGTGATTCTCTCACTTGAGAAACTGTAGAAATCCTCTGGTTGCCTTTGAGGTGTTCCTCGTTCTGGGTTTGCTAGAAAAGTGCTTCTAAATTGACCCATAAGCACACGGTTCTAATTCTGTTTATTAGCGGCTCTCTGATTTCTCTCTTTTCAATTTTTCCTCTATTAAAAAGAGAAGACTGGGCTTGTTGCTTGAATTGGGGAAGGGCTACAATTAGAAGTTGAACTGGCTGGACAACAAGGGGTCTTATTTTCAGTCTGTGCATCATTTAGATATTGTCCAGAGCCTCCTGTGTGAAGAATGAGCATAGCCTTTGACCAGAAGACCCTCCCTACCCCCAAAAAAAGACAAATCCAAGCACTCTTAACTATAAGTTTTCATAGGGTAGCAAGTTTTGCCTAACTTTTAAATACTATTTTAACTTTTTGCCATAGCAACCTTAGGTCGTAGGCTGCTGGCAAGGTAATAGTTCCAGAAAGCAGCTTTGGAGCCATTCACGGAGAAAGACGTTTTTCCCCAGGTGATCTTCAAATGCCTGTGGCTCCAAGCCTGGACCGTGTAAGGAAGTTACAGACCATGCTTATATGACACGACCTCTGTAGTCAACACTCCTAACACTGTGGCATTTCTAGAATGTCTTGCTGGGAACTACCCTACGAGTTTGGACTATTTATGTTGGATGACTGACAAGCCTACAATTCTGAAGGCTCTGTGAACTTTGCCTTTCACTGTACCATATATAAATTTTTAGAAGGTGATTGTTACCCAGACAAGGCTCTGTGGATCTGTGATATGTCTCATTTGACCCTGGGACATCATACTGCAGCACACAGCAGGAAAAGAACCTATGAAAAACAAATCTTCCCAGAAAATTACCTTAGTGGGAGAAGTGACCTTATCCACAGATTGCTTTTCCCAGAGGTTCCGCTTGCCAGATACGTCTCCTGGCCTCAAATCCTAATGAAGGAAAAGCAGAGAAAATTGGTAGGGTGGCCATTTATATTTTCTGACCAGGTCTAAATAAGTCACCACGTCTGTTATTTGTTTGAATCAAGTTCTTGTTTAATACACTTTATCCTAGTGATATGAAATGGATGGAATCAAAAGGATCATTAGCCACAGTCTGGTTTTACATAGACCTTGATCTATGTTATGACACGAGAATGGGCTAGAATTATCTGGCATTTAGTTCCTATCCTCAACCAAGGGCTTACTGTTAATGGGTCAGTAGAATTGGAATAAAAGCATATTTAAAATAATGTAGCCTATTTTTAACTTTTCACGCTCTTACAAGTGAACAGAACATACGTTAGCTTTAAATAATTCTTTTGAGGTTGTGTAAGCGTTTCACCTCTTGCAGATTACCTTTTCTTTCAGCGTTCTGCCTGTATCCCTGAACTCTTAGGACTTTAGTACATTCCAGCCTAACTTCTAGATGACGATATTCCATTTCTTTGCCTGAGGACCTTCTCTGGCTACAGATGCCCACTTCGCCCACCCAGGAGGGAGGCTGGAAGTTCAGAGAGTTAACAACCCCAGGAGCAGTCCTCAATCACTCACCGATGAGACTTGGTGCGAGAATATTTTTCAGGCTCACTCATGCCTCATGTAGGGGTAACTCTGAAGCATGTGTTTTATGTTGGGTTGCCCCAGTGGGATTAAGTTTTTATAGCCCATGTGCTTAATAACATTATTGGTTACCTGCTTTTCCCTGACTCACTTCCTACAGTGTTTTCTTCACCTCCCAAGTAAACTACCCGCACTATCTTAGGGTCTGCTTCTGGGCAGCTCAAACTGAAATGCTTTTCTAATTGCACTTTCCTCAGACTCCAGTCATTTCGTGTTTCCTGAGGAGTAGGTGGGTAATTCAGAAGTGTATCAGTAGGACCTAGCTCTATGAAAGTAAACATTTGCCACAAATTGTACCCATAAGAGAAAATCGAGCTGATGACATATGTGAAAACATGTGGAAATCTTGGGAAGAAAACACTAAAATACGCTTGATAACAGTTACATAGCTTTGATTCGTTATTTACTACCTCATAATTAATTTGGTTTGGATAAGGGTCCAAATTTCTGTTTCCATTTACTTTTCTTCCAGCATTTGCTTATGCTAGTACTTGGCAAAGGTAGTTTGGAGAAAAGAAATGTGTTTTACCAAAATAGTAATGTTTATTTTGGCAAGCCCTTTTCTCATTAGGAAGGCAAAGCTAATAGCAATTGCATTTATCCACAGACACAGGTCTAAATGGACATATTTTTGACAGATACTATTGAAATCCCGACACTAAAAATGCACTGGTTAAATGGTACCATGTGAAGCATTTCAGATTTACCTTAATCTTACTGAGTTTCTGGATTTCCGTTGTGGCTGGGATTCCTGATATTCTAGGAGAGAGTTATACCTATTTAACTTGGAACCAGTAAGCAACAAATCAGATTGTTTTTGAAGAATTCCACTACCTTTGCCAATGTAGCTAGGAGCTGCCAAATTGTCTGGACGACTGAAAATTTGGGAAACTATAATTAGGAACATACTAATGGAAGCTCTGGAAAGGGGCTGTTATTACTTTATTTATTTGATTCATATAAAACAATTGTTATTCTTTCACATGAATGTTCTTCTACAGAAGACGGTGAAGTGTATTTCCCTTAAATCCTGCCTATGAATCTTTTGAGAGCACTTAAAGAGTTTAAAGAGTCCATTTTAAGAAAATATTAACATCCAAGTGGTAAGTTGGCATTTTAAATCAAAAGGGAAATATAAATGAAATTACCTGACCAGACTACATTTTAGAGAAAGACCCACTCCGGAAGAAGAGGGAGAAATGAAGCAGGAGAAGCAGGTTTCCAATCAACCCGAGATCAGAGAATGAAGAAGAGAATTCAGCTGAGAAAGACACATTGTTGTTTTCTTTTTTTTTTTTAAACAAAAAGAAAGACAAATTAGCACTTAAATTGCTATACGTAACATGTAGTTTAGACACAAAGAACAGTCAAACCAGATAAAACAGACATACTCAGAACTGGATTCCGTTTACAAAGTTACCCCGAAATCCTGGGAATTCTACCCACAAACAGCAGTAGATGTCCCAGTAAAGAATCAGGTATAAATCAATGTTTGATTTTGAATAAGTTAAATTTCAGGGACCCTAAGTAATATTGATTTGATGAGCTATTTTGAACACTTTTAATTTTTAGCATATATGAATATTATTACATAGCCAGTGGTGTTTCCCTTTGGGGAATTCTTGAGCAAGACACTAATCCTTGGATTACTCCCTTCCTTCTTGAGGTTTCCCTGGGTGAGGACTGCTTTGGTGAAAGAATTTCCCTCTGATTTTTCCTTACTGTCCACATGCCACACATCTGTCAAAACAAAGCCAGGCTGTCCCCTCCACCCATGAATACTGGGGAACATAAACAAGGGGCTGAAGAGAAACCACTTCTGATCGCAAATCAGAAGGCCCCTTCAAAGGTCTCCTATTTGCTGTTGTCTTAGGTAATCTTCTGACATCCTGGGTTCAGGGTCAGGCTGACCAGAGTCCCAAGGGTGTCAAACTCAGATGCCTGCCATGAAGGACCAGGCTGGAAATACAAATGCCTGCAGAGGCCTGGTGCAGAACAACGACAACAACAACAACGACGACGACGACGATAACAACAACAACAACAGAGAATCAACAAATTCAAGATTGCCTGCCTCTACACCTGAAACGTGTTCAAATTACAATTTTAAAAAGGGGAATAAAACACGACGGCCCCAAACTACACAGATCTTAGCTGCAGGCCACCAGTATGAGACCACCTGGACAAGGCCTGGATCAGATCCTTGCTTGATCTGTCTTTCTAAGCTGCTTTCCTGGACTTAACCTTTTCCTGACAAGTTTTATGCATCTGCTGGATACTTCCAGCACTTTCCGCATTTCAGAAATTTCATCTCTCCTGGATCCATAGTGTCGCTGACTTACTTTCCTGCCTTGCTGGGCTCCAAGTCATGTCGTTCCCCAGAGACTGCCCTGTTGCTTATTCAGATTTTGGCATAGCGCTGTGTCTACTACGCCAGGGATGTGCACAAAGCTTAAATTGCTTATCAAGCATACTCAAACTGGCTTTTATTTATAACATCACTTACATGTGTTTTCTTCCGATGTGACCTTCATTCAGGAAGCCACACTAGTCTACAAAATCCAATGGGACATAGGAAAAAAGCGGTCACCACGAGCTATACTAATTGCCACATTCTTCTTTCCTTTTCCTCTCCATCCTCTAGGAGATGGTCTAGCAAATTGCTTACTAAATCATAGGTAAGGCAGGCAATGATTTTGTAATTTCCCTGTAATACCTTTTGGTCCTGCCAGAAAATGGGCTTTTTTGGTGGAAACCTTGACACAGTTATTATATCTGTTGTAATAATAACTAAGTTAAATCTCTTAACCGTCCCATTAGGATGACACAGATGATGATAGATGTATCAGTTAAGGTACTGCTAAAAGAGTATGGGTCAAGTCCTGGGCTGAATACAGGAGTATAATATGATATAGAAATGAAACAGATTGCAAATACTGTAAATGTGAAAAAGTGACCATCTCCTCTAGCAACGTGCCATACTCATCGAAGAAGAAAACATACACCTTCTCTCTTTATCCTTGCTTGTGAGATCTTCAGTGGGTCCATGAACTTTCTGAATTTGTATCAAATGCAGGTTTGTGGGGACAGGGTTCTTAGATCTCATTAGGTTTTCAAAGAGATCCCCAATTCAGAAAGGCTAATAATCACTAGCCTGGAACTTATATAACTTATATAAATTATATAAATTACCATTTAAAAAAGGAATTTCTACTCTTTTTTTTTTTTTTTAGTGTTTATTTATTTTTGAGAGACAGAGAGAGACAAGAACAGGAGTGGGGGGAGGGGAGCAGAGAGAGAGGAAGACACAGAATCCTAAGTAGGCTCCAGGCTCTGAGCTGTCACCACAGAGCCTGACATGGGGTTCCAACCCACGAACCATGAGATCATGACCTGACCCGAAGTTGGATGTTCAACCAACTGAGCCACCCAGACGCCCCAAAAAGTAATTTCTACTCTTTATGTCACCTTGGGTGCTGGGGAAATTTGAGACACTTAAGAGAACATACCTCTTGGGTATGATCTCTCACTTAAACTGTCTCCAATTATAGGCCCCCTTTCCTGTATCTACTGGGAAGGCGGAAGAGATGTTTTTTCCAATATATAAAGACTTTCCAATTGTAACTTGGGTTTACATTAAGTTTTATACCTCCTGTGAGTCCTAATGCAAAAAATCTTGGGCTGAATACTAATTAGATGACTATAGGGAGTTGCATCCATGAAAGATATGGAAATATTTCTATTTTTTCTTTTTTAAGTTGGAAAAGTGATAAACTTTACTGACTTTGGAGACTAAACGTGGAGCCAATGGATGAAATCAAATGGTCAACAATGCAGAGACCATGATTTAGAATGCTTTTCTTCTACCTCTGGCTTAGAGTGGTTGTGACAAGGCAGTCTCTGCTCCCTTGGACACCAACAAAGGCATAAAAGCAATCTAACAGAGAAAACCCACTAATATTTGGTAGGGAGCTTAGTAAGGTTTTTGATTATAATGATAAATGGAAAGCAATTATCAGACATTCAATGACAAATTTAAAAGAACATTTTTATAGTAAGATAGCCACGCTTAATAAGAAAATGTTAGATTTCCAAAAATAACATTCATAACCAGTTTTTATAGTTTCCAGTTCTGTTTTTTTTTCTTTCTAATGGCTTTCCTTTGGAGGTGTTGACAATAAAATTACAGCAATTATTTCAACAACTACCCAATTACTATATTTTTGTGTTAAGTTACAGAAATTAGGCAAATTAGAAAATATGGGTTCAAAATAGCCAACATACACATTCTTTTGGGAATAAGTCTAGGAGGGCTCTCCAGAGAGAAGTGGCCAAGGTAATTTGACATTTTCACTTCCAAATTCCTAGCTGTGATTTACAGAATGGAAGCTAAACAAACAGACCAGTTAAGAATGTAAGTGTAAACTGCCTCCAGCTCGGGCTTAACTGCTCTTCTCAGGGTGTAGAGGCGATTATGGCTCCATTTTACCCTCTGGGTAATTAGGGTGGACCATCCTCTGTAAATCTGAGCCCCTCCTTTTTGCTATTGAACTGGAGCACTGTCTTTCCCAGGCAAATAGGCCCACGGCCTGTTTTCTTTTGCTGCTAAAAACTAAGAGATCAAAAAACTTCAGAAAAACCCAAAGCTGCTTACCGAAGGTTTGGGAGCGGGTGACTTATTTCCATCTGGGGTTTTAGTTAGCCATTCATTGATGCGGCTGGAAACCCCCACCTTCAAGCCAGCAGTCTCCTACAAAGTTAATAATCCAACACGACAGAGAGAGAGGGAGAGAGAGAAAAAAAACTTTACTTGGAGAAAAAACCCCTTAAAAGTAACCTCAAAAGACTATGAAGTGTTACTTCACATAACCATCACATAACACAGATCAATGATTGATCTTTAGATTTAGTATTTTGAGTAAAAGAAACCTTAAACTTGCTATTTAAAGACTATGTTATCTGGTTTTCTTTCCTCCGCACCTCACCCTCCTCCCTATTTCCAGGGGCTGAGGATTAATTTCAAGCTCTTCATTTAGAATACTGTGGCCACTCAGGTATCACCTCACGCCAGTCAGAGTGGCCAAAATGAACAAATCAGGAGACTATAGATGCTGGAGAGGATGTGGAGAAACGGGAACCCTCTTGCACTGTTGGTGGGAATGCAAACTGGTGCAGCCGCTCTGGAAAGCAGTGTGGAGGTTCCTCAGAAGATTAAAAATAGACCTACCCTATGACCCAGCAATAGCACTGCTAGGAATTTATCCAAGGGACACAGGAG